AGATCGAAACTACATTTATTTTATAAAATAAGTATAAACTAATTAATCTAACTTCTACTCTAAAACTTAACAGTTGTTTATCAATTTTCGTCGCAAATTTTCAATTACATTATATTGGATTCAAAAAATAAGATTAGTGTTAGGATTTTTTTTCCCTTTTTTACTTTCCACAATTTTCGCTATAATTCACCTACTAGTTTATATTTTTAAATGATAACGTAGAATATATAAAAAAAGAAAAAGGAAAATCAACAATTTCAATAAAATTAAGCCGGGTAGAGATTAACTTTGATAAAATGCAAAAAATTAACTATTAACTAATTCTCCTAAAATTCACAAATTTCTGAAGAAGAAACTGGCTCCAATGTTTTATTTGTGATGATGATTCTTAAACCCCTCGAAAATTGAGAGCTAAGAAATTAGATTTTTGGCCAATGCAAAATCGTCAAATAAAGCAGAAGAAGAGTCGGCATCAACTATCTCGAAGGAAAAAAAAAAATTTGTCAGCAAATGCTGTCGACATTAATATTTTATTTTTGCCGATGAAATTTAAAGTTATTCAACATGGGACCAATTTTATCTTTTTATTTATTTTTGACAAATTTGATATAATACTTAAATTCCATCGGTAAATGTACCGATTTTACTTTCTTTTTATTTTTCTTTTGACAAATTTTTGATACAATGCTTAAATTTTCTTTAAACATTAAAACATGTTGGGGCAACATTGACTAGAAAAAAGTTGATCGGTATATAAGAAATTACAATTATACAATTATTTTTATTGATATAAGGTATTTTGGATGAAACCAAAATGAAAATCGTGAGGGTTATGCCTAAAGTGGACAATATCACACAATTGTGGAGGTACTTGGAGTACTATTGTCCTTAACAAATGGTATCAGAGCCATGAAAACCTAGCTGTATGAGAGGAATTCTCGGGGATCAAACAAGATTGATTGGCTCTATGCTTGGGTGACAAGCAACCCTATCAAGTCGGGGTAGATTGATAGGAAGAATGAAGTATCTTTGTTCAAGGAGATGAGATTTGAGGGTGTGATAGAACGACCCTAGATGTTCCTGTTAGATCGGTATGACAACCCTAAATTGGTGAATGGAGCTTAATGAAATTTGAAAAACAAACTTACAAACTCTCTAAAAAAGTAGATACACAAATTTTCGCCAATTTTGTAAGGTTCTTACAAAATAAGGCCCACAAATGACCTAGAGAAATAAAAATTACAAACTCATGATTTCTCAAATTAAAAATTTTTCTCACAAAAAATTATAAGAATATTGAAATTTTGAAAAGAAAAACATGAAGATATTGGAAAGAAAATTTTGTTTGATTTTGGGAGAGAAGTGTTGTTTAGATAGAGGAAAAAGTGATTTGAAATCTAATTTAATTTAAATCATTAGATCTATCGTAGAAAGAGATGAATGGTTGAGATTAATTGAAAAAGTTAATAATAATAATGATATAATAAAAATAAAAATAAAATATTATATATACGTGTGTCAAACGCCTAGTGACATATATTAATATATATATAATTTTTTTTCTGAATCAAATACGATGTGATATATATATGTATATTTTTACTTTTTATTTTTTAAAGTTATCTCCAGCTGTAACTCTAGAATTTCTTTTTTTTTTCTTTCTTTTCTTTTGTTTCTTTTCTTCTTTTTCTTTTTTTTTTTAACACCACGCCACATGTCGACTTTTATTTTGTTATGTTCAGATAATTCAGCCGTCACATTAATGCTATTTTTCCTTTCAACTTCATTTGACTTTAACTTCTCCATTTGAGTTCTGATTTAAGTGATTCAAGATGTATTAGAAACATTGTATCGAGCTCTACGTTGTGCATACTTCAAAATACTAAAATTGTCAATAAACAAAATTAAATTTTGTTTATGCAAGGATTTGCACAACGTCTATCTAGTTCAAACCCGGTCCTTACTCCGACCCAAAATGCGAAAGGAAGACCTGCACAAGAGGGCAAAATCTCTGATGCTCAAGTCAGTAAGCAACTCAGACTCAATATTAAGTTCGAG